AAAACAAGTTTTTTTTATTCGCCCGTCAATTTTTTGACGGGACGTATTATGGTATACAAATGTCCGGCGTCAGTCAGTCTGTCTGTCTGTCTGTCCGTCTGTCTGTCCGGCGTAAACATGTCGTATCATAACTTGAGAATGACTTATCCAAATTTCATGAAACTTAACATAGTTGTTTCTTATGATGGTCAAACGATCTGTATACTTTTTGGTTAAAATAAGATTAAAACTTTTTGAGTTACGGGACTTAGTAACTTAAACAGGTGTGTGTTTTTTTTCACGTGTCACGCCGTATCTCAAAAACAATTTATGATTATTGCTTAAAACTTTACACACTTCTTAGTTATATTAATCTTAAGATCTGTATACTTTTTGGTGATGATTCAAAATTTTATTTTAGAGATATTGAGTATTTTGTTAAAAAAGGGGGAGGGGTTTTTCACATGTCGCGCCGTATCTCAAAAACAGTTTATGATTATTGCTTAAAACTTTACACACTTCTTAGTTATATTAACCTTAAGATCTGTATACTTTTTGGTGATGATTCAAAATTTTATTTTTGAGTTATTGAGTATTTTGTAAAAAAAAGGGGGAGGGATTTTTCACATGTCGCGCTGTATCTCAAAAATGATTTATGATTATTGCTTAAAATTTTATACACTTCTTAGTTATATTAATCTAAAGATCTGTATACTTTTTGATTCAAAATTTTTTTTTTGAGATATTGATTTTTTTTTTTTTTTTAAAGGGGGGGTTTTCACATGTCGTGCCGTATCTCAAAAAACGATTTATGATTATTGCTTAAAATTTTACACACTTCTTAGTTATATTAATCTAAAGATCTGTATACTTTTTGGTTTTGATTCAAAATTTTATTTTAGAGATATTGAGTTTTTTGTAAACTATTTATGCTTATTGCATAAAAATTCACACACAAGACGACGGGCGTATCATGCGCTCATGGCGCAGCATTTTTCTAGTTTCCAGACAATTTCTTGTGTTTAAGTGTATGTATCTCTTTAAAAGTGTACTACAAGGTTCCATACCACAAAAGGAAGGCTGGGATTGAGTTTGGTGGTAATTACTCCAAGGGGAGGGGGGGTTTCCAATTTTTTTTTGGGGGGTTCATTTTTTTCTTCAAAATTTTGAAATCTTCAATTGCATAGTATTGCAGAATAGCAAGAAATCTTCACTTGTACAGTATTGCACAATGGCAAGAAATATTCAATTGCACAGAATGGCGCAATAGCACAGTATTGGGCAATAGCAAGAAGTCTTCAAATGCACAGTATTGCGCAATAGCAAAAAATCTTAAATTGCACAGTATTGCGCAACAAAACAGTATTGCACAATAGCAAGTAATCTTCAATTGCATGGTATTGCGCAATAGTACATTATTGCACAATAGCAAGAAATCTTCATTTGCAGTATTGCGCAATAGCAAGAAATCTTCAATTGAAAACAAGTACAAATGTTTTAACCAATTTCAAATCGTCAGTCCGTCTGTCCGTCCGTTGTCAACATGGCAGACATTAATTCAAAAACGCTTTAACTAATATACATGAAACTTTGGTGTATCATTTATATATGTTGATGTGAGCTCCCTTTCGTTTTTTATAAATTTCAGATTTACCATTTCCAAGTTTTGGGGTTTGATTCATTAAAAAAGGGGGGATTTTCCAGTTTTCGGACAATAACTCAAAAACAAATTTCACCAATTTGCATGAAACTTTTGCGAATTGTTCATATCTATTGACGTGAGCTCCCTTTTGTTTTTTTTATAAATTTCAGAATTACCGTTTCAGAGTTTTGGGGTTTTATTCATTAAAAAAGGGGGATTTTCCAGTTTTCAGACAATAACTCAAAAAAAATTTCACCAATTTGCAAGAAACTTTGGTGAATTGTTTATTTCTATCGACATGAGCTCCCTTTTGATTTTTATAAATTTCAGACTATACGTTTTCGATTTATGGGGTTTTATACATTACAAAAAGGGGGATTTTCCCGTTTTCCCGTTTTCGGACAATAACTCAAAAAATACTTTCAGCATTTTTTATGAAAATGGTAAATTGTTTATATCATTTTTTGTAAGCTCCCTTTTGATTTTTATAAATTTTCGATTTTACGTTTCTGAGTTATAAGATTTTATTTGTTTATAGTCTCACAACAGATTTACTAAGTATTTCGCAACAGCACAGTGTATTGCACAACAGCAAGAAATCTTTCATATAACCAATTTCAAGTTCTTTGACTACATTTATTCAGAAACCTATAATATCAAATATTTAATTACAATCCAAATTCAGACCTGTATCAAGCTTGAATATTGTGTCCATTTTTGCCCAAACTGTTCAGGGTTGGACCTCTGCGGGCATATCCAGCTGCACTCAGCGAAGTAGTTTATTTTGGATATTGGGCCCCATTTTTTAAATTTGGTTTACATTGAGGTCAAAAGGGTCCAAAATTAAAAAACTGAATTATTGCGGCTGTATGATTTGCTGAATCTTATTGTACATTTAGATTTTTTATTTTGGGCCCTGTTTTCAAATTAGTCCATGTTAAGGTATGAAGGGTCCAAAATTAAACTTTTTTTTGATTTCACCTAAAATTAAATTTTTGGTGTTTTTTTATATGCTGAATCTAACAATGTTGTTAGATTTTGGATATCAGACCATTTTAGGTAAATTAAATGTCCCACTTCAAATTTTTAAGATCTTTGACCACATTTATTTTGTGTCAGAAACCTATATTATGTCAAAAATTTGATCACAATCCAAATTCAGACAGTATCAAGCTTGAATATTGTGTCCAAACTTGCCCCAACTGTTCAGGGTTCAAATTCTGTGGTCGTATCAGGCTGCGCTCAGAGAAGCCTTTTTTTGGTTATTATCTTGAATATTATTGAAGATAAAGATAAATTGTAAACAGCAAAAATGTTCAGCAAAGTAAGATCTACAAAAAAATTAATATGACCAAAATTGTCAATTGACCCCTTGAGGAGTAAATGCCTTTTAAAGACAATTTTACACAATTTGTTCATCATGTTTTCTAACATTTAAAAATCTTCTCCTCTGAAACTACTGGGCCTAATACTTCTAAAATTTAACTGAATGTTCCTTAGGGTAAATGGTTTATAAATTGTATCAGAAGATCCATTAACAAACATGGCCGCCATGGCTAAAAATAGAACATAGGGGTCAAATGCAGTTTTTGGCTTTTATCTCAAAAGCTATACAGTTAGAGCAAAAGTGACAGAAGTTAAAGTGATGAATAAGTCAAGATCTATCTCCTATGAAATTTTCAGACCAATTGGACCACCGGTTGTAGGGTTACTGTCCGAAATAGTTTATTTTTATGAAATTATACTGTTTTTGGTTATTATCTTTAATATTATAACAGATAGAGAGAAAGTGTAAATGGCAAAAATAATCATTGATGAAAGATTTAAGCAAAGAATTACAGGTGAGCGATTCAGGCTCTTGAGAGCCTCTTGTTTTTCTTGTTTTATGTTTATTTTTGAGGAAAAATAATTATATAAAATCTAAATTGGTAAAACGATGATTTACAATCAACCTGCATTGTGGCTATGATATCAGGATAGAAATAATTTGTTAACCTTCTACATATGAAAATAGTATAGACACTTCATGTAACATTTAGCTATTCAATTTCAGCAGACAGATTTTATAACCACATGCTAACTCAACATATCTGCAAAAATCAACAAAACACACAGTAAACCTTTATAGAAATGTTGATCTTTAAATGTTGAAATCAATTTTTATGAAAATTACATTAAAGAAACAGATATACATTTAATTTACAATTAAAGAAAGAAGTGAGATGAGATATAGCCAAAATGTATTTAAACCCTATCAGTTAACATTTTCCTGCATTGATTGAATAATTTCAGATCTGTAAATAATATTTGTTTTTTTTATTTCATTCAATCTTTTCTTTTTATATTTTTAAGAATTTTCTTTGATTTGTAAATTAGGTAACACCCATTCATTACAAACTGATTTGAAACACTATGACAGACTTAAAGAGTTCTTTAACATATAGATTTAGAACAAAGGGCAACTTGTTATTAGCTAGAATAGATGCTCATATTCCTGTTTTTATTTTTTAAGTGTTAAAGGAATAAGAGAAAACAAACATTTCTTTAAACAACATTATAAAAGCATGGAATGGTCAGTTCATTTAGAGGCTTTTTTGACGAATAGGACCCATAGTAAATGTTGCGAAGGATTTTTTATACTGTGAACTTACAAATATCATGCACTGATTCTTATAAAGTAAAGTAGTCTTCATAACGACTGGTTTATAAGATGCCTCAAACAAGAATGCTATGATACACTAGCTATTTTCTAATAAACTTAAGTTCATTGGTTGTGGTTGGTTTATGTCTGTCATATTTGTTTTTCGTAAATTGTTTTGTTATAAATTAGGCTGTTAGTTTTCTCAATTGAATTGTGTCATATTCTTCACATCAGGGCCTTTTATAGCTGACCATATGGTATGGGTTTTTCTCATTGTTGAAGGCCGTACGGTTACCTATAATTTCTTACATCCACTTCATTTGAACTTTGGTGGATAGTTGTCTCATTGGCAATCATACCAGATCTCCTTATTTTTATAATTAAGTTGAAAATTACTATACACTGTCTGTTTTTGAGTCAACTAAACATTTGCAAACTATTACAAACATATTAAAACTATAGGAGACTAGATATGATACACTGTCTGTTTTTCAAATAAATCAGCAATTTCAATACTGTGATAATTTTTTTGGGTTCAAGCAATCCTGATGAATGTTACAATCCAGAATATCACTTCCTGATGAATGTTTCAATCCAGAATATCACTTCCTGATGAATGTTACAATCCAGAATATCACTTCCTGATGAATGTTACAATCCAGAATATCACTTCTTACACACTCAATTTATAAAGTGTTATTTCCATTTCCATTCAGTAGATGCTGTTTCTATTTTTAGCCTATAGAGAATTGGACCTGTGAAAATGTGGTAGAATGGATGGCCTGTGTCAGACTATACAGATATGCTCAGATGTTTAAAGACAATCAAATTAATGGCAAAGATATTAAAAATATGGATCCTGAAAAATTAGGGGTAAATATTAGATAGATACAAACTTAGCCAAAAAATAGCCTATACTAATTTGCAAAGTGTATGAGTTCAAAAAGAAGCTTGGGATCATTAAAGAATATTGCAGGAACAAAAATTAAGTTGATAAATTATGGAGACAACTCTACAAATGAAATTAACCAATACATTGTGGTCACTGTGTGTTTGCAGAATGACAAATTGTGTGTTCACAGAAAGATAAATTAACTGTGTGTTCACAGAAAGATAAACCAATACAAAGTTGTAACTGTGTGTTCAAAGAATGATAAACTAACTGTGTGTTCACAGAAAGATAAACCAAATACATAGTGGTCACTGTGTGTTCACAGAATGATAAACTAACTGTGTGTTCACAGAAAGATAAATTAACTGTGTGTTCACAGAAAGATAAACCAATACAAAGTTGTGACTGTGTGTTCACAGAATGATAAACTAACTGTGTGTTCACAGAAAGATAAACCAATACACAGTGGTCACTGTGTGTTCACAGAAAGATAAATCAATATGTAGTGGTCACTGTGTGTTCACAGAATGATAAACTAACTGTGTGTTCACAGAAAGATAAATTAACTGTGTGGTCACAGAAAGATAAACCAATACAAAGTTGTAACTGTGTGTTCACAGAATGATAAACTAACTGTGTGTTCACAGAAAGATAAACCAATACACAGTGGTCACTGTGTGTTCACAGAAAGATAAATCAATATGTAGTGGTCACTGTGTGTTCACAGAAAGATAAACCAATACACAGTGGTCACTGTGTTCACAGAAAGATAAATCAATACATAGTGGTCACTGTGTGTCACTGTTTGTTCACAGAATAATAAACCAATACATAGTGGTCACGGTGTGTTCACAGAATGATAAACCAATACATAGTAATCACTGTGTGTTCACAGAAAGATAAACCAATACATAGTGGTCACTGTGTGTTCACAGAAAGATAAACCAATACATAATAATCACTGTGTGTTCACAGAAAGATAAATCAATACATAGTGGTCACTGTGTGTCACTGTTTGTTCACAGAATGATAAACCAATTCATAGTGGTCACTGTGTGTTTACAGAAAGATGTGGTCACTGTATATCACTGTTTGTTCACAGAATGATAAACCAATACATAGTGGTCAGTGTGTGTTTACAGAAAGATAACCCAGTACATGGTGATGACTGTGTTACAGAAATATAAACTGTGTGTGCACAGAAATGTCTCTTAATCAGTTCCAAACTTCCTCTGAAAACAAAATGTTCTAGTACAAAGTCAGAGCTTTGTGACCCAAATAACCCTACTCAGAGACATACTGGCTACACGGTCCATATTACTCTACTTTCCTTCACCCTTATTTATCAGTAGTTGTGAAATTTCTAATTTAATATTATAAAGTTAACAAGACCTACACAGAAAAAAACCTTTCCAGTTTGATTTAATGAGTACCTTATTGATGACACACCTACATGGTTTCACATCTGCTGACATCATTAATCATTGACACCTTTATTTTTATCACAAAAGACCAATGCTATACTTTATAAGTAATTTTTTATAATGAATTTAACACTCTATAAAATAGATCTGTTGGATCCTATGGGTTTGTCACCTACTAAAATACTTGGCAATCAGATATAATAAAATGTGTTCATACTTGTATTCTTCGTTCTTCTATCTGTTAATTTTTCTCTTCTTATAGCTATAATATAAACCCATGTGACCTGGTATTTCTACCCCTGTAAAGGCCTTTTATAGGTGATTGATTTAATGAGGTTGAACTACTGACCTGGAATGCCTACACTGATGATTGTCTTGACCTAGATTAGTTCAGCTTCACTAATCTCTCCTGAGGGGGGACATTAAAATTTCATTTATTACAAGTAATCTATCAAAAATATACATTAAGTGAATCAAATCATATTTATTTTGTAGAAATGGTAAATTTATGCAAATTAGTATGGTAGTCTGGTTTTAGATTTTCTGTCATATTTGTTTAGGAGAAATCATTGACACAGGAAAGCATTGGGATCATACATTTATCTGTTGTGTCATGCTTGTGATAACGTCTTCAAATTTTTATAGCATAAAAAGTAAAAAAGCCAAAGATTTATGATTGACTACGGGCAATATACCATAACTATATACAGTTAAAAGTAAAACTACTGATGTCTATCACAAATGCTTTGAAACTTCTTTAACAAATTTAAATTAAGTTTTTTAATATGTATGTATTCTGCAGTGGCTTGAATCCCATAAATTTGCTAAATTAAAATAGCATTTAATTTTATTTTAAAATTTTGTGTGAATTTAGGTTTATTTTTACCAATATTACTTGAAAAATTAATGTACTATTTCTCTGGTTTAAAAACAGTGTTAAATATACAGTATATGTTTAGATTATTGATACTTAAAACTTGTTACATATTTAATGTTCTAACAGAATTAATGTACAATAAAAGTAGGAAATTCTATGTATAGTCATACTGCATAGTTTGTTTATTACGAGAGTAAATATAGACATTTCTGGCTGCCAAATATGCTGCATGTACTTTTGTTACTGATCGGAAGGAAAAACATATACATTGACCTTATTATAAGTAGGAAAAGGAGATAGAACAATTGAAAAATAAACTTTTTGGGTTTGATACAGTTCAAGGCAGTTATCATCTAAAAATAAAGAATGCAGTTGACAGAACTGTTCACAATTCAGAAGTTGGTGTGTATTAATTCAATGTTTATCTATTTCTTATTCAATATGGGAAGGAGGGTTTTCTACAGAAGTTTTCACTCTTGAGGCCATTGACCTGGTTACCTGTGCCTAAGGTAATCTATTCTGTATCATTACAGATGTAGTATAGTGGAAAGTTGACCGACCTTAAACTTTCTAATTAGATTCTTGATGTGTAAAGTAGATTTTTGATTGATTTTCAATGACAGTCAGTAGGTCTACCTTCAATAGGCATTAAGTTTATTTCCCAGCATGTTATACCATACAATATTCAATAGGTTTTGGAAGGGTAAATGCCCTTACGTTATATAATGTGTTCTGGCAGAAGACTTAATGTCATACTTGATCGAGCTTGTATACTTATCTCTCTGATTGTATCTTGCTAATTAATTTACCTGTCTTTCTGAATAGGAAAAAAAAGATCATTTATTTTGTTGTTCAAATTACCAGCCTCTGTTATGTCAATTTGGGAGGATTTAGACTCAGGTTTACTTTGATAATAGGTTGCTGTCCCATAAATATGCCCCCAAACTATAATCTCACGGAGACCTTTATATTTTCTCTTTGTCCTGGACATTTTCTTTCTTTTTTCATTAGACTGTCTTATTTTCTTTTCTTCCTTTTTATGCCCCCGCCGTAGCGGAGGGGGCATTAAGTTTTACCCTTGTCCGTCTGTAGGTACGCACGTCTGTCCGTCCGTACGTCCCAAAGTTGGTTCCCGTTCTCTAACTTTAGTTTGCCTCAACCAAATGTTATGAAACTTATACACAATGCTTATTACCACAAAACACAGATCAAGTTTGAATTTTTGTGGCGTCACTCTAACTGTTCTAGAGTTATGCCCCTTTACAAATGGAAAAATTGTTGAATATTTTGCTTCCGTTCTCTAAATTTAGTTTGCCTCAACCAAATGTTATGAAACTTATACACAATGCTTATTACCACAAAACTCAGATCAAGTACAAATTTGGGTAGCGTCACTTTTACCATTCTTCAGTTATGTCCCTTTATAACTTTATATGATATGCAAGCAGGGGCATCATCTGTGTTCCATGGACACATTCCTCATTTATTTTTTTAGATTTCTGTTCCAGAAATTAACTGATGTGATCAAACACTCTTCATTTATTATTTCACCAGTTCTATTTTCCTAAATCACCATCTTATCACAATATTTAATCTGAAGTGGATTGAATTAACAATTATAACATGGTAGGGGTTGTATAAATAATTTCTAGAACTGTTTTAAATTTAGAATCAGAAAGGAAATTCTAAGCTAATATTGATTCATATGACTCACTGGACTTTGGTCAGTTATATATAGCATCAATACATTAATTAGGACACCTTATTGATTACTGTGTCAAATAGATGTGTAGTTCTCTCTCATCAATTATAGGAAAAGGGGTGTGGAATTTCTTAGTATGTAGTGGAAACTATGTCAGATAGGTGTTATGTAATAGTTGTAATGGAATAATTTATTTCATGTAGTCATCTGTTTTGTGTTTTAAGGAAATGCAGATTTATCTCAATATATGACTATAATTACCATGTTGCAGATGGATTTTGTCACCAAATCTTTGCTAATTGTCTCTTGGGTGGACGTCTTTGGTTGACACAAAAGTGTAAAATTTCAATAGCCCCTAAAAAATCATGAATTTACAATTTAAAATCATCATATGACACTTTATTGAATTTATCTGCAGTTATATATCATACCAAATTAAAGTGAAGATATTTGTATAGAAAATGTTTCATTTCAATTTAATGGGCTCACAAAGAGCATGTTACAACATTATACATTAATTTATTGTATATATTATTTTACAATCTATATTCTACATCTATATTTTTAGCAACCCAGAAAAATATACCACAAGAAAATGTATGATATTAGATAAAGATTCATCAAAAATGACATAAGACTGAAGACTGGTTTTTCTAATCAACTTTCCATACAAATCACTGAGATCAGATGTATTCAATATGATCTATTTTTTCCTTGATAATGATACTCAGAACCCTTTATAGGTTATTCTGGTACAGAAGTTATTAACTGGTGAATCAGTGTCAGTTGGTTCAAATAGATATTTCTGATCAATAATATTTTACAATGATTGTTACCCATGATAATCAGATATTGGATTTGTGAGGAAAAGGTTTTTGATTTAAGCTGTAAATGACAGAGTTCAAGTACTACTTTAGACTTCCTTCTAACTCTATTACATCAATAGAACTGTTTCCCTTACATCAGTAGCAGGGAATC